AAAAAAAAAAATAAAGACAAAAGGAGGAAAAAAGGACCTCGTAATCCTGTTCTCTCCCACCACGCAAGGCACCACTCGGCCTTTGGAGCGCGTATTTGTATCTGCACGCCTTTCGTAATATACAAATGACGGAGAAGAGCGGGCGGTCATCCATCGACAGTGGATTGATTTCGGTGCCGCGCTTGAGCCGTGGGGAAGATATAAACAACAGCGGCACAAAGCCTGCATCTAACGCCACGCCTAATACCGGGGGCACTCTAAGCGATTCCGAGGTGCAGACGCCTAATGGGAAGTTTGCGTGTTTGGTTGAGAAAGCCGTGCGATCGTTGGATCGATGCGCAAGAAGGAAAAGTCTGAAGAAGCGGTTCTGGCATGAAGAGGACTCACCGCTCAGCCGCAGCTGCGTTGGGTTCCGCGGTGATGGTCTGGAACCGCCTCGCAATGAGGCTCTGGATTCGTTGATCGCCAAGGGCACACCCGCGCGAGATGAGAAAGAAATGCGTTTTTTGCTTCAGAACTCCGAGCACTTGCATCTGCTGCGGAACGATGAAGTGGACGACGTAATTAGGTCTTCTTTGCGCCGTGAGTACCTGCCAGGGGAGGTGGTACACGCTAATGGTGGGCGCGCCCAGCACACATATGTTGTGGTATGGGGAGAAGTGGATGTGTTCGACCCCGGCGCGGCTGCCGCACTGCCGCAACAGCGCCGATCGCCGCCGCCGCAGCCGCTGAAACAACACTTGGCCCCGGTCTGCCGTCGTCCAACGCCCGGAAACAGCGGCGTCATTTGCGGTGTGGGTGAAACCAAGCGCGAAGAACGACAGGAGGAGTGGGAAAAGCACATGACGCACTGTGGCACAGTCAAACCAGGCATGTTGTTTGGCTTTAAGCTGTGTCTCTTCAACGATACCTCGACGTTACGGTATGTCGCAGGCCACGCCACTGACCGCACGGTGGTGATACTTCTGCCGCTTCCACTAGTACAACGGCTGCTGGAGAGAAACACCTGCTTCGCCCAGAGTATTGGGCGGCATATTGCTGAAAAGGAAATTTTTGTTCCTGTGCGTGAGTTCTGCCGATACGTCTTTTCGCCCGCTGCGGCGATGAATGAGTACCTGTCGCTCTGGAAAATCCTTGAGCGTTACACAAAGATTGAGAACGTCATCCACACCAAGCTTGCCAGCAACGAGATTGATACAAGTGCATGGGGTTACGCGCTGAAGCGGCTGCCGGAGAACGTCACGACAACATTCTGCTTCGACCTCGTGTTGGCTCTCCCGCCTTTCGTAGCAACGCGCATGCGTGAGGAGGCGAAGATGGCGGACGTGCGCCACTCGGGCAAAGACCTGAAAAATACGGCGTCAAAGCGAACGGCGGTGACATATATCCGTACCAAAGAGCGCCGCCGCTGCACGTGGCACCTCGGCATGGAGGGCAAGACACTCGTACTGCTGCGGGACGGCTTCACGGACCTGCTCGACTTCATCATGATGCTGTGCGTGCACATCATCGAGAGCAACAAACTCCGCAGCCGTGTGCAGGGGATGGTGCACCCACCAGCCATCGACGTGCTGGACGACTACCTGCGCCAGCGGGAGGCAGAGGAAAATGCGGGAATTAATGTAGCCAAGGAGGTGGAGCTCTTACGCGTGAAGAAGCTGCTGGCCACAATGCCGCTCACAAAAGAAGAACAGACTGGTTTGCTAGCCAATTGGCACACCGAATGCTTAGTTAAGATATACGAAGTCATGATGCATCGGGAAGAGTTTAATGTGCGAGTTGATCCGAGTGTTTCCCGCAGGTTTCAACTCAACCCGTTCCACGAGTGGGCACTCAACTTACGCGATTGCATCATGGAAAAAATGGGCATGGACCGCAATTTGGCTCCGCCAGACGACTTATGTATCGATGTTGTAAGCAGCAACACGCATTGTATTAAGAACCTCTTATCGAGCTTTCACCGCAAGAACCGGCGTGCAGTGGAGGAGTACGCTCTGAGCGACAGGTGGTCCGGCAAGGTTTCGGAGTGGCACACGCTTGAGGATGCACTCTACGCAGCGACAGCGGGGTTCCTCGCCAGTGAGCGGCCCGATCTGAAGGAAGAGTACGCGAACGCCCTCGATGAAAGCGGTATCACAGTACTCACTGACACCGCTATGACGGGGCTGCAAGTCGATGTCATTCCGGTGCACTCGCTAAACTTTGAAATGATCGACACGGTCCTACAGGAGGCAGTCAAGAAGGCCGTCACTGACGGAAAGCCATCCAACGCCGCGGTGTGGCGATATCTGTGCCAACCGCGAAAAGGCGGCATGAGCTGCAGGCGTAAAGACAAGTGTGACTCGAACGAAGCGACGTGCTCCCGTCTGGAGCGTCATTTTATCATTAACATGGACTTCGCGTTTGGTGCTCAGGCGGCAGGCATCTGCCAGGCGATCTTTGGCGTCTTTGGGCCTCGCATTCGCAGCGTAAATGTGATTGGGAAGGCCGGTGGACTGGTGGGCAAGCGTGGCGACATCCAGCTGCCAACGGAGGTCCTCATGTCCAAGTCGAGTCTTATCATGGAGGACTCACAGGACGAGCTGCGCCGCTGCCGCAACCAGGGCCTCACCGCGGAACGTCTGCGTGAGCTGGCGGGCCCCCGGGTGGAGGTGCACGAAGGCCGAATGCTCACCATCGCAGGCACCATGCTCCAGAATGTGCGGATGCTGAAGTTCTACAAGTATATTTGGGGCTGTGTGGGCACCGAGATGGAGGGGTCGTATTTTGCTCGCGTGATTGAAGACTTCTATCGACAGGGCATTGCACGCAAGGACCTGGTTACACGCTTTGCGTACTATACCAGTGACTTGCCCCTAGGAGGCGAGGTGCCTGCAGTCAGCGGCCGCGCCACACTGGCTGCCCCCATGACGCAGGTGGAGGGTGTGCCGCCACTCTACGCCATCGCTCGCGGTTTACTGGAGAATATCCTTTACAATGATAGCACCAAAAAGCCGTAGGTCCTGACACAGCAATAGGATGAACGAAAGTTATGAAGTATGATGTTTTATTGATTTTTTTGGTGGTGTTGTTTCTTTCGGGGGAGAAAAGAGCAAGGAATATAGTGCCAGCTGAAAGTGGACACGAAAGGGTATTGAGAAATGCTACAACACTTGTCTGTGTGTGTGTGTGTGTGTGCTGCTTCTCGTGGCTTACTCCATATGTTTTGTGATGCGTCTTTGCGCTTTATTAATCCTTTTTTTCCTTTATCCCCGAAAACAATGCAAGTGAAGAAAGGAAAGGGGCTTCTGCACGTCTGCCTTTCCTCCGCCACTGGTGTAGCTGCCACTTCGTGCCGTGCAATGGTGTTGTTGTACCATCGGTGGTATGAGACGGACCTGACTGCTGTTGCCGCGACGGGCAGTGGGTGTCGTGACGTTCAAATGTCGTGGTGCTACGCAGATCCGCGGCGGGGTGAGACGACTGTTGTGGTTCTCGTCGCCGCTCCTGTGGCACGTGCTGACACGGCAAACGACGAGTCGCCACGCCATGCACTCAAGATTACCCTCTTTACAGCAGCAGCAGCAGCAGCGGCAACCGAACCGGCAGTTGATGGCATAGTTCATGACAATAGGGTACTTTCACCACAGGAGGAAGTTCGAAGTGCGCTCTTTGAGCTTCATGGACCACTGGAGGCTTCTGTTGTGAAGGGAGTGAGCGGTGTCGTTTTTGTGTCAACACGGCAGTTCTTCTTTCACGCTGCTGCAGGTGGCACGGCGCTAGACTGCTTCACCTTCACAGGGGAGGGTGGGTGGGAGCGGCAGCGCGATGCAGTGCACCCGCTCGACGTCGCGGAGCCGCTCCGCCGCGTACTCTCTGAAGCCGGCGGTGACACCCGGCCGAAGCTCCATCTTGTCACTCGCCTGGGAACGTCCTTGCAAGACACAGCGCGTGACGTGGTGGATGTGCTGGTAGTTGCATCAAAGGAGGACGGGTCTCCTGCAAGCCCACATGCAAAGTCGCAAGGTGGTAGGCGCGTGCCACCCTCGTTAGCAGCACCGCCATCGAACGAGGTACCGTTGACGTCCTCGCATACCTTTGTTATGGCGCTGCTGCGGTTTACTACGCGTGCACCATATATTGGTATGACCACTACTACGAAAACTAATACTACTGCTGCTGCTGCTGGGGCGTGGGATCTGCTGCACCTCTTCGTAGAACGTGCAGTCCCGTTCCGGCAGTACGTTGACAATGTGAACTCGCGGAATGCCGCGCTGGGCGCCGGCGGCACAGAAGCCGCCGTCACAGACCCGAGCCACTGCACGTGGTGCTATTTGCCGCACTCAGACCTGACGGGTGGCGACTGTGCGGAGCTGAGGCGTGGCATGGTCGTCGCCATTGTACCACGGCCTTCTAGTGCCCTCGCGGTGGTGTGTGGGGGTTTCGATGCGGAGAGCAACTCGTACCGCGTCGGGATCGTCGCCAATCAAGCAACCGGTCGCAGTGGTGCCGTGCAGGAGACGACTGCTGCGGTTGTTGGCGACGACATCGACGACGTTAACCCCGAAGAGACGCTGTGGAGCCTCACAGAGGACACACACACGGTTCAGATGATGTTATTGGGCGCGCCGTTAGAGTCGCTGCGTGGCTCGGAGGAAGCAGCGGCGCCCGGTACCACGCAGCGCCGTCAGTTGCACCGCACCATCGGTGGTGGTGGTGGTGGCGGCGGCGGCGGCGGCAACTGCAGCAGCACTTGGATGCGCCAAGCTGGACTAACGATGGTACTTCGCTTTGTTGTAGACTTCCTTGACGATGGCATGGGCAGTATATCTAGAAATAACAAGGATGTTATTCTTGATTGCGATGACTCCACGCGGCGACAACAGGGACTTTACGCTGCAGTCAGCGCACCGTGGGAGAGGAGCCGGCACGCACGCTTCCCGCTACCACGCGCCGTCTGTTGGCTTGGCGCGGTGCCCCTGCCTATTGGCGCAGCTGTTACTTCCACAATGTTATTTCCGGATGACAACGACGGGAGCAACAATGACCACATCGATAAGGGAAACAGTATGGGTGCTGCGAGAGTGGGCATGGACGATGAGGACGCTACCTCGTGGTATCACGCGCTCCCAACATCCCTCGCGTCGTCGTCCCCTCTGTGTGTTGGGAATAGTGCGCTGCGCTGTTTTGTCAGCATCAATGCGTTGCTGAAGAAGACACGTCTGACCTACGTGCTAGAGATGCGGCCACAGGTTGGTGGGTCTGGTGCGAGGCATGTGAAGGCTTCCGAGCTGATGTACATAAGGCCAACGTGTTGTGAGCACGTCGACAGTGACAATGATGATGATGATGATACATACTACGAGGCGGTGGCCGTGTGCCTCGCTCGTGCAGCTGCCGGTGCTCTAGCGATGCGTGACCGCGGCGTGGTGAAGGCGGATACGTCAGCAGCAGCAGCAGCAACGGAAGTGACTCTACACAACGGCCTGCTCGACTGGGTGTCGCCTGAGGCGATCATGTACGAGGCGTGGCGGAAGGTGGCAAAGGGCGCGCACGCACCGACTGCCATGGTGGTGCTCGACGCCGTGACGCAGTCCGTGGAGGTGGCGGACACCCCGGAGGTGCGCGCGTTGGCGAATACCCTCCGCCGCTTCCTCCTCGCTTTTCTACAGGAGCTCGATTGGACAACGTACGGTGGCAATGACCTTCTTCGCGGTGTGGTGCTGTTGATGCTCGGCGCAGTAGACGTGCAAAATGCATCGTCGCATTATCGTGAGGCGTCGATACGCGACGGCGGTTTAATTGCCCCCCATCTCTCACCGAGCGGGCTGCGCAGCATGCAACTGCTCCTGAAGCGCACCGCGTTGTGGCACCCATTGGCGGCGACCTTGTTTGCGTGGGTGAATTGCAAGACATTCGACAAGGGCGGGGAGGACGAAGAGGGGAAGAATGAGAGGGAATTTCTTCTTGAGGATGTTCTTCAGGTGTGGGAGGCAATGGCTGTGGGTGACGGCAGGACCGAGAGCAACAACAACAACAACAACAACAACAAGAAAGAAGGCAGTATCGCTTTCAATGACATTTTGCGGCGCTTGCGTGGATCGCAAGAGACTTCCAAGTACCAAAGCGCGGTGGCGGCGCTTGCCCGCGGTAACCTCACCACACGCGAGGTGGCCGCGCTGGCGTGGTGGAAGGACACGCAGGTTGGCGACCCTGTCATTCTTCTGCTGCAGCTGCTGCTGCAGGTGTCTCTGGCGTGCGATGATAACGGCACCGCCGGGTCCTCTGCTTCGGCGGCGGGGGTGTATCGACTCGCTGTGTCCGTCGTGGAGGAGCGATTCCCACACGGTGAGCTTCCGCATGCGTTGGTGCCCCTGCTGCTGGGCTTGAACTTCAGTATACTGGAGGACCTGCCGCTCACCGCAATGTGTGGAGGACTACCTGTGGTGTTTCTCCTCCACCATCTCACCACTCTCTGCGGTGACGGCGAGGTGGAGAGAGAGTCGCAGGACGTCATTGAAAGTGGAGTTCAGCTGCTGCGTTGGTTGTGTGGCGACCGGGCGGAACGGGCAGAGGAGGTTCTGAGCGTGTTGCGAGCTGCGAGAGTGCCGCTTGTGGAACTCTGCCTCGGGAGGCGCCAAGTTTACCACGCTGCGGCATGCACATCGATCGTGTCGAGCGGCAGTTGCTGCTCCAGTAGGGCGCTGCATCACCTCGTGGCGTCCCCCACGGTGTCTCTATTGACGGAGGCGCTGACGGCGGATGAGAGCAACAACATCCCGGTGGGGGACGTCGCAAGTGGCAAATTTGCCCTTATCTTGTGGACACTCGTGCTGGAAAACGATGAGGCCGCTGCATTCAATCCAAACCTCCTGCGACAGCTTTATGCGTCTCTTCACCCCCGCAGTGACGCAACGCCGCGAGCCGACTCTCGTGTTGCCCTCCTGCTGGACTTTCTTCGTCCCGTCTTTCTCACGACTATCCCACGTATTCTCGCGGCTTTGGGGAATAAGCACGAGACTGTTGGGGGCGCACTCTCTATGAGTACTCCAGCAGCGGCTCTACCGGGCGCTCTTGCGCTGGGCCCTCCTCTTGATGAGAGCGAAGGCGTCGACTCCGTATTACGCACCACTCTGCTGGAGGTGAGGCAGCTGCTGCTGTTACACGCCGGTGACAGTCTTGAAGTGCAGTGTCTTTTGCTGCTCTTCAACGTCTTCCGGGCATCCTGCACCGCGGCGCTAGAGCGGCCCAGCGGAAGCCGCAGTAGTAACGGTGGTGGTGATGGTGCTGATCGCGCCGATGAAGGGCAGGTAATCTTTGCCTTCTCTCCAGCGGAAATGTACTTTGTGGCGCTACAGATATTGTCCAACGAGCCGGCACGATTTTTGGTTGCTGCTGAAATAATCCGGCGGGGCATTCGGTCGTATCTCGTTCATCAGCTAAATATTGTCTTACCAGAAAGAGGCTTGGCATCTGTCGGCGCAGCGGACCAACATGACGAAGCAAGCAAGAAGTGGCGGGGCAGTAAGGCGTTTTTGAATGATACAGTAGAGAATCTTGGGCCGGTCATCTCCGCCTTTGAGAAAACGGCACCGCTTTATGCCCACACGCTGCTGCTGCTCTTCCTGGACGAGTCCGCCGCCCTGGCGGGTACTGTGGGCGCAAGAACAACGACAACAACAACAGCAGCAGCAGCAGGAGTAATCAGGGAGGATCAGTCCCATTTGTCGGAGGTGCACAGCGGTATCCTTCAATGTGCTCAGCAGGCGGCGCACGCCCAGTGGACAAGGTTGCATCAGAAGGAGAAAAAACTCCTTTCTCGTGTGTTGTCGGACCGCCTCGCGCTTCCCATTCACAATGCGGCGACGGATGAAACATATGTCGAGAGTGATGTGCACCACGAGGCCGTCCGAGTCGCCGCACGTCTGCAGCAGAGCCTGCAGCAACGGCTCATCGATGCGACCCTATTGAACGCGGTGAGAGACTCGTACTTTCCCGGTTCAAGCGCAGCGGCAGCAGGGATCCCGTGTGGAGAGGGTGTCGCCGCCGCAGGTAGAATGTCCGCCGTGCCGTCGACAAATTCGGCACTACTCGTCAAGGAGGAGGCCTATGTGCGCCGGCACCTGCAGCGTCAGCTGCTGCAGGAGTACAAGCAGCTCATTGACAGTGACGCCTTCCGCGCAGCGTTGGGCGTGTTGTATTTGGCGCTGCGGGAAGAGCAGAGGCGGCGCGTCTTTGTTACCTTTGTGGGACAGCAGAACGACATCATGCTCGCCTTCGTCCATACGCTCTGCGATGTGATGCGTGAGGACTGCAGGAGCGGTGCGCACGTCTTGTGGCGGAGCGCCATGGAGGAGATGCAAAGGCGCTTTCGCTACTTCATGCTGCAGGAGCGAGAATCGCGGTCCGCGGTGGAGGCCGTATGCTTTGGGGAGCGCAGCACGCTCTTCGAGTTTATGCGTGAGCAATGCGCTCTCTTCGTTACTGAGTTCCGCGTGCGTCTGCGCTACACTGAGGAGGAAGAGATGCAACGCGACGCCCTCTACGAGACCTTCGCGAAGGAGGAGATGGGGGTTCTGCAGCGGTACGAGGCGCGTCTTGAGGAGGAGGCGTGGCGCGAGGAGGATGCGGCGTGGGCAGCGGAGTTGGAGCAGCAGCAACAGCAGACCTCCAGCGGGAACGCCTTCCTCCAGTGGCAGGGGCGCCACCTCGCAGCAAATGAAAACGTGGCACCAGTATTTCGGCAGCCCCCACCACCACCACCACCAGAAGCAGAACCAGTGATGCCTGCCGTTTCTTCCTCACCAGCCAGCGCGCTTGCACCACTGCTGCAGATGGGCCGAGTCCCCATGACAGAATCAGACAGTGGTGGCGGGTTTCACACACTTTTGGAGACGTCCGACTCAATTTTTAGTGCATTCTCACGGCTGCAGAAACAGATTATCTCCACCGTTGCCCCGCCGCCATCGCAAGACGGTAAGGGCAATTCGCAAGCAGCAACAACAGAAGCTGTTCCAGCAAGACTTGTGAAGGAGCAGCAAAACGACGCACGTGCAGTGCCGTGCCCAGCTGTCTCTGTTCCTGCCACACACAGCCCGCATTCCACGTCGGCACCGGCGTCAACCGCGATGGGGGGAAATGAGGGGTGGGGCGAAAACTTGGAGGAGGTGACAGCCGCCTCAGTGCCTCAGCTGCGCCGTACGGAGTGTGAAGCAAGCAAGTCAAACAACGCGCTCGATAAGCTTCCTGCTGCACCCGATGACGGCAGCAAGCAAATTCGTCTACGGGCATCAGCAGCAACGGCAGGGGGTAAGCGCCGCGCCCCACGGCAACGTCGCCTCGGTGAGGTGGTGAGCCTTGATGCGGTACTGGAGGACCAAAAGGGTACGGCCCCCATATTGTCACCCCTACCACAAGAAGAAGAAAAACAGGGAGAACCTCAGAAGCAGATTGGCAGCACATTAGTCACGGGCCGTTTGATCCTGCACGCCCCGGAAACTGAGGAAATATGCTCGGCTTCGAATAGGCCAGAGGCCATAGCGACAACGGCAGTCATCAGACGTGCCGCACAGATCCCTCCAGCGAGGGATGGTGATAATGCTCCTACTTCACTGGTGCATGGCGGTCTTGCAGTGAGGCAGCAAATGGTATCGGATGAACACGCAGAAGATGCAACGCCTCACGATATCACCCCCGAGATTAAGCCAGAGGACGATGTGCTGGCGGTGGTCGTGATAAAGGAAGAGACGAAGAATACTGTTGAGTATGAGAAGGTGGAAGAGTTGCGAATGTGTTCTGGGAAGGTGTCGGTGTTGCTGCACGACGAGGATGCGGCTCGTTGCGTCACCTGTGATGAAGAGCAGCTGACGCGTGCCTTTTTGTTGCGTCGCTTCGTTCTTGGTGTCTAGGACGATATGCAGAGCGTACTTGTCTGTGTCTTTTTTGTTGTTGTTGTTGTTGTTTCTGCATTTGGGCTTGCGTCTCACACCCGCCTCACGCACGCGGTATGTGCAAGTCATGTTGCCTAGCGGTGTAATGTGAATCGAACGCTGAATGTGAATGCTGCTTTATCACGTGATGGCTTTTTCTTCTTCTTCTTTTGCCTCTTCGTTCGGGTCTTGCTGTCGCTCTCCCTCACACATACCTCTCTGGCAATACACACACACACACACGCACGCATATATACACACTAGGGAGCCCCACGCATGGCAACAACCTCCGACTTTGTGGGGAAGAACTGCCCTTTCTGCGGTGCGGTGGACAGTCTGCAGACCGATGATGCGCTGGGCGAGGTGGCGTGCACCGAGTGTGCGCTCGTCGTGGCGATGGGCCTCGAGGAGAATGCGTTGACGCGCTACAACAAGGACGCCACGTATGACGACGTTGACCGTCACCGTGAAGGCGACGAGATGAATCCCTCATCTTCCTCGGCGGCGGCGGCGGCGGCAGGAGGAGCAGCAATGGGTGGAGCCTCGCTGGGGGGCGTTAATCTGGCGAAGGTCACCCTGCACCCGGCGATGCTCAACTGCATTCGCGGCCTGCAGAAGAAGTCGGGCGCGCCAGAGCAAGCGATCGGCCGCGCGGTGGATATCGCGAAGCACGTTGTGGGCGGCCGCCGCGCCCGCGGCCAGCGGCTAGAGAAGCAGCAGGACGTTGCTGCTGCGTGCTTCATGATCGCGGCGGAGCAGCTGAACCACCCAGTGCCGCTGGCGGAGCTGCGCTGCCTCGACGCGTCCCTCGGCGACGTGGAGTACCGCCGCGCTGAGATCGTGAAGGAGACACGCATGGAGGAAGAGGAGCGCCGCCTCAAGTCCGTCTTTGTAGACAACCTCCTCACGACATACCTGCTCAAACTAGGTCTCCAGGTGTCGCTCTATATGCCACACTGCAAGCGGTTGTTGGAGGCGCTGCGGCACGTCGAGGCGCTCGCGTACGTTGGCGTCGTCGACCGAGTCATTATGTCACTACTACTCGCACGTACCTCGCGCAGTTTCCAGTGGGAAGGGAAGCCACCAGCCCACCAAAGCAACAACAGTGGCGCTGTTGGCGGGGCTCCTACCACGGAGGCGCTTTACGCCAACTTTGCAGCGAAGGCCCACTTGGACGTCGGCAAAGTGAAGAAGGTGATGCAGACTGCAGCAGACAACCTGCGTGCAATTGTCGAGGCCTTTGACGCCGCCGCCGCCGCCGCCGCTGCTGATGCCCGTCCCGTCAACAGCAGCCGCAAGGAAGATGATGACGGCGATGTGGGTCCGGAGGCAAAGCGCGTAAAGGTGGAGGAGGTGTGAGAGGCTCCTCCGCCACGCACGTCTTGTGCTTAAACTGCCGCGACGATTTTTGGTGCTATGATCCTTAAGTATGTAGGTGTGGCTTCACTACCATCTGCCTGGCTGTTCCTCTGCGGCGTATAGGTGTGGGGTTTTTGCTTCACAGGCACACACACACACACACACAGGCTCTATTTACCTCGCTCCCTTGTTTTTCCTTTTGTAAATTAAATCGTTCCTCTCTGCACTTCCCTCACTGTTCACCCCCCGCTGCGGTCCTTTTCTTTCTTTCTTTTTTTTTCTTTTTGTTGCTACACCACCGTTAGTGTGGAAGGGAGCCCCCACGACTCAACAACAGCAAGACATTCGGAACGGAGAGAGACATTGCAGCACACGCAGTTGAAGCAGCAGAAGTAACAGGAAAGAAACAGAAGTAAGGGAAAAGAAATTCAGACATATGCAGCGCAAGCAGTTCCCGCCGAAGCACTTCGATCCCGTGAACTTCCGCGGTGCCGACGCCGACGAGGAGGAGGAGGAGGAAGACGAGGAGGAATTCGACCTCGTGGGCGCCATGAACGAAATGCCGGTGCTCAGCCGCCGCAAGGTGTACGCGCTGAAGGGTCTCCTGGATGAATACAAGGGTGTGCGGGCCAAGTTCCGCGAGGAGCTCGCGCTGCTGCAGGTCGAGCACCTGCGCGCGGCCCAGCGCCTCCACGACGTGCGCGCGGAGATCGTCCGCGGTGTGCGCGACATCACGAGTGACGAGCTGGCGGCGGCGACGGTGACCGAGAGCTCCGGCGTCCGCGAGATTGCCTCCGACGACGACGACGACAAGGACAAGAATGAGGAGGCGGCCGGTCGCGCAAAGGGGTCCAAGGCCGTGTGCGTGGTGGCGCCGCAGGAGAAGGGCCGTCTCGAGGCTGCTGCTGCTGCCGCGGACGGCGGCATCCCGGATTTCTGGTTGACGGCGATGTGCAACACGGAGGTGCTCGACTCGATGATCACCGAGCGTGACCGCCACGCGCTCGGCTTCCTGCAGGACATCACGATGGAGTACGTCGACAGTAACCCGCAGACGGGTGTGCGCCTCAACTTCGCCTTCGCGCCGAACGAGTACTTCAGCAACGCGGTGCTGAGCAAGACGTTCATGATGTGCTTCGACGAGGACAGCGGGGAGATTGAGATTGAGTCGATGAAGGCCACGCCGGTGGAGTGGAAGTCGCCGGAGAAGAACCTCACCGTCGTCATCAAGACGAGGAAGCAGCGGCACAAGAGCAGCAAGAACATTCGTGTGGTGAAACGCGAGGAGAAGTGTCCGTCCTTCTTTAACTTCTTCACGGACCCGCTCAAGGACGACGAGGAGGAGGAAAACGATAACAAGAACGAGAATGAGGAGGGCGCCAAGAAGCGGAAGAGCGCCCACGACGACGACGACGACGATGACGACGACGAGGAGGATGTGGCGGAGCTGCACATTGAGGCCGGTCAGCTCCTCATGGAGGAGCTCGTGCCCAAGGCGGCGTTCTTCTACACTGGAAAGTCCATCGAGCACGCCGCGCGGGCGCTGCAGAGCCAACTGAATATCATGTTCGACGGGGACGACGAGGAGGACGACGACGACGACGACGACGACGACGAC